TGTGTTTAGACCTGTCTTATGCCCCTCTGTTTGTCGTCGGTGTATGAGGTGGGGGTTTCTGGTGCCCGAGTATTGTCGGGTCCACTGATATCCTGGAGGACAAGGGCTGATTCAAATTACGTGGGAGCAGATGCTTTTTCAGCAGCAAATGGCAGGCCGTTAACAACAACTCATGCCCTCCTGAACTGCTCTGGTTGGGTACTAGGTTGTTTCAGGGGTGGGGCACGACGTGGTCCCAGGGATATGCGAATTCAGCCAAACTGCCAAGGGGAAGAGGAACAGGATATAAAGGGTCTACAGGGACAGACATAATCATAAACTACTATAATCAAACAGGGGGGCTGCTGAAATAAGGGCTGGGATAAAAAGATAAGGGTGCTCCTAGAATGGGAAGGGTGACACTAGCAGCTCCATGGGACGATGGAGCCCCTGGATGAGTCAATAATAATCACAGCCCCAGGAAACAACAAACACCAATGTCAGTACTGTACGATGTATCAATGGGACGCTGGACCCGGTTTCCAGCAGGTGCCACTCCCCACCAATAGATGGAGCAGACCGACAGGTAAGCCCTCAATTCTGACGGTTCTCTTACCACCGACAGGATAGAGGGATATCGCAAGGGCCTTTTCCCTAAAAAAAAATAAAACAAAAAAGGGCATTCGTCATACTTCGCCGGCGACCGGCCTTTTAGTCTCCAAAAGCATTGACTTTTTGGTTTGCTACTACCTACCCGTCATGGCTGCCACGGGCTCCCGCCCTGTAGCACTGCATGGTCCAGCAGGGTGTGGCAACTCCGCTGTCAAACATGAGAACTGTCATTATAGCGTTCCACTGACAGTGTATGTTGTGTACTAATATCAGGAGAGAATGCCCCGGATTGACAACATGAACCCTTCTTCGAGTCTGTGGCGGCTTCTCCGTCTCTCAAGTCCGTGCAGCAAGGATGCATGAATGTGATCCATGTATGTGCTTTGTCATGGGTGCTGCCACAGCCTACAGGCAGTCTCGCCAGACGTTCTCCCATTGCAACTCATAGTCCGCCTTGGACAGGCGGTTGAAGCCGTCTGTCCAAGATGGGCAACACCGTCACATGCGGACGCATTCGACTACGTCTTCGAACTTCGAAAAAGGTTGCCCCCTGAAGTTTGCGTACCCCTGGGCCTTGGGTTAATAAGTCGGTTTTTCTCACTTTTTTCTATTCTTTTTGTTGTTTTGGTCTAATCCCTCACGTGACCCCACTCGCCCCCTTTTCGTTGAATCCCTGGTGAAAACCCAACTCAGTCAGTACTACCTCAGTGTTTATCACGCAGGACCATCACCTACTACCACTTCTTGATGGGGTGACCTGACCGGACAATGGTTCGCAAGGCGCCACAGCTCAGCATGATATCTCGTTCAGCCCAGGTTGGAATATGTTCTAACGAGCACTGTTGCAGTGATGCCTTGGGCACTAGGCATGAATCTTTTTTTTCTCTACAAGCCTTCTGGAACATCGAGCTATTTCTGCTAGAGAGAGTCGAATGGCAGGGAGGCAGATGGGACCCGCAGATTGAACGTCCCGGATATCAAGGTAGAAGATGGCACTCCCTCTGTCCTGGATATCAGGGTGGGCTAGAAAAGGAATCTTCATAATAGGAGATTTCTGGGACAGCCAGTCAAATAGTACTTGGAAAATAGAGGGGCAATTGAGGAATGTTTCCTGCAATGTCTGCAACCTAGGGGAAAGGCTCAAGAATAGAGAGAGGGTAACCCCCTTGCATGACAACTGGCATTGATCAAACCACCAGTACCTTTCCCCGCTTTGAAAACAAAAGTCACGCTTGATAAATTTTAGGGGTAACTACTCGGGAGCCACAAAAACAGTTTGAAATTATAGTTCGGGCCAAAACGAGAGACTGAGGAGGAGAGGGGTGCCCGTTTGGACCGAGAGGAGGAGGAGCGGCTGAGGAGTTTGCCACAGTGGGAGGGTCAGTTCGCGTATCTCGACGAGCAACGTCGGCAGAGGGACTTGGAGCAGGAAGGGGGGGGAGCCATGACGTCGACGACTCGGGTGTCCCTGAGGAGGCAGTTCAGGGGGAGTTCGATTATGAGGGACAGGATGCTGCCGCGGGTGGTGGGTCAGGTGGTGGACGACGCGGTGACGAGGAGACCGCGGGTGTCCCTGAGGGGCAGGATGCTGTCATGGGCGGTGGGTCCCCTAGTGGGCCATGGCGACAGCGAGACCGCGGGTGATGAGGGACAGGGTGCCGTAGTGTGTGGCAGAGGAGAGGGTGGACCCGGTGGAGATGGGGACACCGCTGGTGTCGGTGGAGACGATGGACCGGACGGCGACGATGACGACGACCACGGTCCCGAGGACGATCCGTATAGGCTCGCCTTGGTGTTGAGGGATCCCACAGTGCCTCCGTTGCGCCCTGACGACACAGCGTACACTTTCTTCGACGCCGACGCTTTGGCGCATGCGTTGACGGATGGCCCTTTCGCACACGTGAGCCGCAAGAGCGGCAAGCAGCGGGCCCCTGGGAGGGTATATTCACCGCCGCCGTTCACTATGCTGCGCCCTCACTGGTCGGGTTCGTCGCTCAGCGGTGTTAGAGGGAGGGAGTCCGGTGAGGGTGAGGTGGGGTCCAGCAGACGCAGCGACGGCGACAGAGATAGTGCAGGATCGATGGCTCCACCGCCCGCACGGACTCCGGAGGCCAGGGTCGACACCGGGGACCGGACGGTGGCACCCGGAGTTGCGCACAGTGGCGGTTCCCCGCTGCCGAGTCCGAGGAGGTGTGGGTGGCGGATTGTCAGTTGTTCGTCGGGTCGGGGACCGGTTGCGGGCGGATTACGACGTCGGGAGGGGCATCTTCACGGGACGTACGCCTGTTCAGACGCAGGCTGCGGAGGGTGGATCCGGACGTCCGAGCCTGCAAATGGCAGGCCGCATGCTTGGTTTGTCACGAGCGGAGACGAGGAGGACATTGGTCCTTGAGGCCGCAGGGACATCCACGGACAGGCTGCGGGGAGAGCAGTTCACATCGGGCGAGGAGGGGTTGTCGATGCGTTCCGGGACGAGACGACATCATGACCTCTCGGAGGTTGAGGCTCGACTTGATGCAGGGGTCGCCGCTGGGCAGGCAGCATTGGACGCGATTCAGAGGGAGAGAGAGGGGGGGATTGCTGCACAGGCGAAGGAGGACGAGGACGCAGACACTGAGTCCGAGCCGATCGAGACTGCAGCCCGCAGACACAGGGCACAGGTGGCCGCGGCGGCCGCTGCAGCACATGCGGCATACGTCAGCGGGGCACGGGGCACAGGTGCCGGAGGGAGAGGAGGGCGCCGGGAAGGACCGCATGGCCGCACGTCCTCCGGGAGAGGCCGCGCGCGCTCCGGTGGGAGATGACGACGTCCGTGGTGTTTTTTTTGCTACTCGGTTGTACAGTAGAGACGATGCCAGTCGACGGGTCCAATTTTTTTTGCTACTCTGTTGTGTAAAAGAGACGAGGGGTCCAGTTTTTTTTTCCTACTCGGTTGTACATTAGGGTTTTCATTTTTTTTTTTCTTACTCTGTTTTCATAAGAGACGATGTGGACATTAGGGTTTTCATTTTTTTTTTCCTACTCGGTTGTACAGTAGAGACGACGCCCGTCGACGGGTCCAGTTTTTTCTTGCTACTCTGTTGTGTAGCAGAGACGATGGGTCCAGTTTTTTTTTGCTACTCAGTTGTACAGTAGAGACTACGGGTCCAATTTTTGGCTTCAGCCTTGTTCATACGCATTTCCATTGAAATGCTTTGTCATATATTTGTTATTGTTCTTGTTCCTCCGCCAAAATTGGTCTTGCATCTGAGCCGCTGTTGTTTGGTGATTGTTTTCTGCTCTGTTGTCGTGATTGTTGCAAATTATGTGTTTCTCCGATGCCACACATGTGCATGTCATGGATGCCTCCATTATGAATGTGCTGTTAATTTCAGATGCGACATAGGGATGACGTCCTAATGAATGTGTTCTTACATAAATGATGTGCTAATGAATGTCCATCAGTCTCCTGAGTGAACACACACTATGACACACTTGCCTGTTATCATT